TCAGATAAAGCCAATAAAACCTGTCAGTCACTATGTGTTTACACACCTCTCTGCATTCAATCATTAGTTATTATTAATCTCTGGCTGCACAGCGTGCCTTTGTCCTCCTCCCTTCACTGCTGGTTTTGGTGGTGAGAAGTTTTATTTTAAAGGTGAACCTTCTCTGTTTCAGTTTGCATTACACTTTTTCTATTTTCAGCACAGCTCAAAAACAAAATGACAATTCATGCAAACAAGTGGGTGCAATAACAGGCAGGTGTTCTGCAGCAACCCCTCCCCAGGGCACATTTTTCCCTAGCAACTGGAGGTTACCGTGTGGTCGCTGACCGGTCTCTGGACCTAAATCCACGTATGATGGTCCCACCCAAGCCTCTGTGCTGGATGGATGTTTGACCCGTGGTTCCACATGCTAGCTTCATTTTGTTATCATTTGTGCTTTTATATGAATTTACTTTATTTTGGAGCATTTCTCCACCGTTCAGAGCTTTTTACCTGACCTTGTGGATGCAGGCAGTCTGCTATAAAACATTTTGTACTAGAATTAAAGAGTTTGTAGGTACAAACGTGTTTCGCCTGCATAAAGAGAGTTGATGTAAGTGTGAATATAACCACAGTATGTTAAAGACTTCATGGATCAGGTTTCATTGAACAAAATCATTTTTTCTGAGTAAAAATCTACAGTGTGACTCCTTGGTTAGCTTAAGTGAAGCTGTTATAAGCTCAGATTTACTCATGAACATGATTACAGCTCTTCTCACACGTCAGCGTTTACTCAGGACGGTCCTGACAGTAACCATGAAGCCTCCGCCCTCGGTCTTCTGTTTATCTGATCCTCGTCCTCGCCTGCTGCCCGACTCTCAGCAGCTTCTTATCCAAACTAATAGGATCATTACCCCCCCTCCATTCATTCAGCTGCACTCCCCTTTCTTTCTTTTCAATAAGCAGATTACTAATGTCTTTGTTGCTCTTTGAACATTTAATTTCCTTAAGCCAATTGTTTCGTGAAAGCGTCCGGCTCTGAAGCCATTTATCGACGTTTGCTGGTGGAGGGCTCAGGTGGAGGCTGCAGCATGGACCTAGAGCAACACTTATTATTAAATGAACCAATTATTACTGTCTGCAAAAGTAAGGCCACGCCTACTTCCTGCTTCCAGTAGAGAGCTTCAGATTAAAGGCACTTCCTGTCCAAAACAACAGAACAAAGTTAGGAGGCAGACTGGGAGCTTTGAAAGTTTGGGTCCAGAGGTCAGTTCATGGTCTTAGCAGGAAGCTGCCTGTGAGGACTCACTGCTGCCTCTGCTGGACGTCAGAGGACCTGCAGGTTTTGATGTTTAATTGTTGGTTTTCACTTGTTTTTGGTTAGACGTAGTAAAAGAAAACTCAGACAGAGACCAGTCGGTGATTGTCTGGAAACCTCCGGTCGCTGGAGAAAACCGTGTCACAAAGACGGTGCTGCACCAACGTAAACGGTTGTGTTTTTACACTGCAACCAAAACATTTCCAAAGGTGCAGTTCTTATTGTGAAGGCAACCATACTGTACTTCTCTTCATTATGTGGTGAGTCGATCTTCTGTTCTTCGACTGCAGCTAGTCCAGAATGCTGCTGCACGTCTTTTAACCGCCACTCGTAGATGCGAGCACATCACCCAGTTTTATATTCACCTCATTGGCTGCCCGTGCATTTTAGGATCATTTTAAGCTGCTTTTATTTGTTTTTAAATGTCTGTCCAATGCTGCCCCTCTGCTCCTCTGTTTTTAAATCACGTCTTAAAACATATTTATTTACTTTGGCTTTCAGCACAGCAGGACTTGTTGATGTCTCTTAATATGTTTCTTATTAATTACATTATCTTTAATTTTAAGATATACTACATGTAATTTAAACTGTTTTCTCTTTGTTTTATATTTGTAGCACCCCTAACCCTTATAAATAAAGATGCTATGCTATACTTCGAGCAGACAAGTCAGCCTCTTCTATGCAGGGCAGCAGGCTTTCAGTGCAGCATGGTAAACCTCTCTGTGACAGGTTCCACCCACTGACAGCAGCTACCACCCAGCAGCTGGTTGGTGAATGCACATATTTCCATGGGAGACCGGCCCGTGTGACCTTTCTGTGCTCTAACCCTCCGTGAAGCTCTTTGAGCTGCACGTGTGAAACAAATAATTCAGATGAAAATATGACCTGGACAAGTTTTACTTACGGTGATGAAATCCTGACGAGGTGAGAAAAGAGGAAAGGAAAAAGGAAAGAGTTCAAGTGTTTAGAGGATGAATCAGAATAGCGGCGTGCTCACTATCTCCGCCTATAAGTCCTACTGCACGCGCTCCAGCTAATGCACCAGACTCTGTGTAACAAACACTGATGCTGATGGCTTTAACCCAGCAGCTACTAATCACTAAATGACACTTTCTGCGTCAGAGCGCCGCACAGACTAAACCTGAGGCGGACCTTCTTTAGCACGAGCCCGGGCTCCTGAGCGAGCAGCCGGCGCTGGGTGGCCACGTTCCCCACGGCACAGCTCTTCAACCACTCCTTCTCCAGAGGATCCAGAGAAACCCTGTGGAACAGAGACTGGGGGAGGAAGGGGAGGGAGAGGAAAGGAGAGGAAGGTGACCTCCATCTGCATTTAAACTGTAACCGAACACCAATGAAGAAGCGATGAAGCCCCGCCCCCTGACATTTGAACTGTTGAGGTGAACACGTTTTCCTTTCAAACTTTCAGTTTGATACTAAAAACTGATTTTGTAACATTTCCTCTGGTGTCTCGATTTTCTGTCATAAACTGGCGTCCTCGTCGTCCTCTAGCCAAGGCGGGCGGGGATCCTGACGCCATTAGTGGTGTTTATTGGCCAGCAGGGTGCTGCGAAGCACCACCCAGGCCTTTAATCAGAGGCCTGCCGGGCTGTCCTCACTGTTTACCTGATAGCTCCGTGTTAATTACACAGCCTGGGCGGGCACAGAGGGAGGCCGTCCTTCAGCTTGATGGCACGCCGTGGCGGCGAGCGACACGGCTAACGGCTCGCAGTCAACCCTGATGCAGCGGGAAGAAAACACGTCCAGCTCAGTGCACGTTTAAAACTTGTTTCCAGCGCAGAGACGTGTTTTCAGTCAGCTGCAGAGGAAATGCTCAGCTCGGTGTAGGCGTCCGAAGGCCTGAGACTCAGAAACCAACCGAGAGCTCATGAACACCAGACAGTAGTTTAGTCAGACTTGGTTTGGAGCTCGTGTTGGACTGAGAGGCTGGACTTTACCTCGGTCAAGTTTATAACGGGTGTCGCAGCAGACGCTGGTTAATCCAAGCCGGAGCCAAACTGACACCACAAACATCGATCAGACTCAGCGATCTGGACATGAATCAATAACGAAACTGTCGCTCTGCAAACTTACAGCCCAGTAACAGGCGGACACTTCCTGCTGGGTCCAGTCAGACAGCAGCAGGAGGCCATCACAACCAATGAGCAGCCGGCGCTGTGTCATTATGGGATATCACCATGGGAACGGCATCGGGGGGAGGGTCTGTTTTCACACACACAGGCTCTTTGTGTCTCACCATGACGGAGGACGTCGTGACGCTCCTCGTGTCGTCCTCCTCGCTCTGCCAAACAACAACACAAACTCGTCAACATTCACAGGAAACTTTTAGCACTGAAATCAGACAGAATCTGAGTTCTCAGCACAAAATATCTCTGCTGCTTTGACACACAGCGCTCCCTCGATTATCGCGGGAGTTACGTTCTAAAAATTACCAGCGATAGGTGAAGTCCACGAAGTAGCCAACTTTATTTTTTACAACTATTATAGACGTTTTAAGGCCCCTCACCACACACTTTATACACTTTCTCACACAGGCATGAACATTTTCACACTTTTCTCTATTGTTTAAACTCTCAACGTTTAAACCTTCGTAGAAAAATAAGTCCAGTGTTACAGAAGGAAACCAAAGATCAAAGCAGCTGCAGAGGATTCAACAGTAACGAATCATTAAGGAATCAATGGAGACAAAGCAAGAAGAATAAGACGAGTAAAGTTTGACTTATCTGACTGTTTTGTTTCCTTAATGCACCTTATAATCCAAAAAATATGGTAACTTCTGCCTTTA